ATATGTATGTATATATCTATTATTATATATATATATATATATATATATATATGGCAAGCCTTCCTCCTCCTCATCCTGCTCCTCCCCCTCCTTCCCCTGATCCTCCTGCACCTGCTGCTGCTGCTGATGATGCTGCTGCTGCTGCTGCTGCTGCTGTTGCTCCTCCTGCTCCTCCTCCTGCTACTCATCCTCCTGCTCCTCCTCTCCCCCCCAGCCCTCCCCCATCACCCCCACTCCTCCTCCTTCTCCCTCTGCCTCCCCTGCTCCTCCTCATGCTCCACGCTGGACAATCCTCTTCGATGCTGTGCTCCTCCCCTGTCCCTCATCCCTCCTCCTCCTCCTCCTCCTCCCTCCTCTCCTCCTCCTCCTCCTCCTCCTCCTCCTCCTCCTCCTCCTCCTCCTCCTCCTCCTCCTCCTCCTCCCCCTCCCCCCAGGGGCCGAAGATGGGTCTGCAGGCGTCAACGAGTCAACGCGGGTCCCCGGAGGCAGGGGTCCAAAGCCCAGGGCCCAGAATCCATCAAGGGCGGACGAGAAGGAGGAGGGCGAGGAGGAGGAGGAGGAGGACGACCAGGAGGAGGAGGAGGAGGAAGAGGCCAGGGAGGAGACGAATGCGAACGAGGACGAGGGCGAGCACGAAGACAAAGGGCGAGGAGGAGGCTGGCAACGATGACGAGCAGGGGGGGTCCGTTCTGGAACCTTCCTGTAATGAAACATTGCGACGGAGTTACGCCAGGAAGGAGGCAGCACAGTACGAGATTTCCAAGGCTCCAGGAGTGTCGGCTGTCAGGACCCTCTGGAACGGGATCTGTTGTCCATGGCACTACTTGCCGTAGCATCTTTTGGCGCCACGATGCCGTGACTAGAACCTAAGCGCTGGAGCGCGTAGCGCGCGTGGTTCTAGTTTGTTATATATATATATATATATATATATATACATATGCATACATACATGTATACATCTACACATGTGTATATTTATGTATGACGGAAAGCCTTGGCCAGACGCGATGGCCAGAGGCGGCAGGTCCGTTGTCGGCTGGCCGTCCGCGTCGCTGCTCGGTGCGGGTGCTTTGGGGCGCTCGTCGGGCGCTCCGCCCTGTCCTCCCCGCCCTCCTCTTGGCGCCTTCTCGCCCGCCTGTCGTCATGCTCCTTCTCGTGGTCGGCGTTGTCCTCCTCCTCCTCCTCCTCCTCCTCCTTTCCTGGTGCCTTCTGCTGGAAGTCGCCACCAGACCTCAAGGGAGGAAAGTCCACGTCGACCCCCATAACTGGAGTTTACTTGATGGCCCTGAGCGTGTACGGCACAGGCCTGTCCTGTTCGATACCTTCTTCGGGTGCGTTTGCTACACGCCTTTGCTTGTCGGGGTGCTTATTACGAGGGTGGCTTTTCTTCTCCCTAAGATCGGTGCCGCCCCAATACTATGTGCGCGTCGCCCCCCCCCCCCCCCCCGGCGACGCGCGCACCGAGGAACCTTATAGTATGTGCGTCGTGGCGGGCGCTTTTTGGCCACACCGCTCTGGAAACGATCTATTACAAGATGGGTGTATTATTGTAGTGGCCTTCGGCCAGTGCCGCCGATCCGGGTCGCTCGGGGTTATTCTCCAGACGCAGAAATTATGGGCGCACACTCAAACGCACACACACAGTCACACCACTTACCTGCGCCGCAGACATGCGCACACAGCATCACCCACACACACATACTAGTTGGGAAACGCTCCTGTAGTACTAGTAGTAGTATTAGTAGTAGTAGTAGTAGTAGTAGTAGTAGCAGTAGTAGTAGTAGTAGTAGTAGTGGTAGTAGTAGTAGTAGTAGTGGTTGTGGTAGTTCTGGTAGTAGTAGTAGAGGCCTCGTTCCGCGGCTTCTCTCGACTTCCCGCGGTCTCTCTCAAGTTTCGAGCACGCGGTGAGTTTCACGATATATGTGTGTGTATGTACGCGTGCATGCATGTATGCATGCATTGATCATGTGTGCCTGTGTGTAGGTACGTATGTATGTATGTATGCTTGTGCGCGTATGTATGTATGTAGTTTGTATGTATGTTTGTATGTGTGTATGATAATATGTGTGTATGTGTGTGAATGTAAGTATGTATGTCTGGAAGATTGTTTTTCTATGTATGCAAATGTGTTTAAATGTAGGTATGTATGCATGTGTGTATGGATGTGCGTTTGAAGATCGAGGATGTTTCAAAGAAGAGGCACTCGGTGACGCGATCGTTGAGGGATAGGAGTGAGGTCGCAGAGGAGGAGGAGGAGAATGAGGAAGAGGCGATAACTTGAAGGAAAACGATGAGACGGAGGACATCCTGCCGGTGGCGCCCTGGGCGGTGCCGCGGAAGAAACCGGGGGCCTGCCGGAGGCAGTCTGGAGGCCTATGGGGAGCTGTTTTGGGGCCTCTTGGAACCTCTTTTGGGCCTCTTGTGGGCTTCTTGGGGCCCCTTGGGGGTCTCTTGGGGCCTCCTGGGGGCCTCTTGGGGCGGAAAGCTCGGTTCTTTCGGT